GGAGGATGGGTTTTGCGCTCCGCGGGGAGAGAACTAGATCCTCTTCATCTCGCTTGCGGGGAAGCATCCCCCCTGATTCCCTGACCCATCATCGTACGAGCTCCCGAAACACAAATAACAAGCAAGACATCAAGGTCCAGCCTGCAATGTATGCCCACATCGTGTGGTGCAACCACATACAATGACACACTGTCCACTGTACTGGTAGCGACTGTGTGGCATGCAACCACCTGTATGTCTGACAAGTCCATAGCTATCACATGTAAGCCCTTGGTCCAGTAGTGTGCCGACGGGCGTTCGTTCACAAGTCCGGAAAGAAAGTGTTTGCACAAAACGTTGATCAACTCCCTAGTCTAGCCTATAGGCAATGGCCGCTGACAACAAAGTCACGACAATCAGGCCCAATATGCTGAATTCAGAAATATGGCCAAACGGAAACAACAGCAAATTTGCGACAGAAAACCTCATGCACGGCGCATATCAACAGCCTGGACCCAGAAACCCTTAACACTTCACCATGCATATAGATATCGTCACTAAGAGTGGAGTACTTTGTCTCTTTGTGGCCATTGATTAAGCGCCCGGCGCCTGTCGATCGGCACTGCGGCCAACGGGATGAACGATAGCTCTGTGTTCGGCCCCTAAAATCACTTGCAAGGGGTATGAAAAGAGGGATAATTGCATAAATGAGGCCGCATGCTTGAGTGGATATTCGCTCTTTTAGGCAATCGGCATGCCCATTGCGCCGTTACTGTTGGTGCAAATGGCGGCAAAATTCCTCTCCTAAGCGTGTGTGCCTGCGAGAGTCTCCTCGTGTGCAAGACAACGGCTCGCGGAAGGCAAGGCCATGCGAAGGGTATGCCGGCACCCGGGATTTTTTCCTATCCTTCAAGCGCCCCAAGGCACGCAAGGCTGTATGCATCCGGTAAACACACCATTGTCGACATATCTACTACTTGCGGTTGACCGGATTAATTCATGTCCGGTGGGGGCATGTTCCTTGGACTTCGTGTACCGGTACCGCCATCCAATCTATCAATGGATTAGTCAACCGGGATGGGACGTGTAGGATGACACGAGTTTGTCATTTAGGGTTTTAAAAAAAGAGGGAACATATGCTGGGGATGCTACGGGAAGGAGAACTACAGTGCCTGCTCCATGGATGCGGCTATTACACGGCAGAAAAGTGAGGCAACAAAAGTCTTGCGCGGGAGTGGTGGACGAATTTTTGCACCGATCATTCAGGAAGGCACAAATCCGATACGATAAGGATTGTCGTTCGGTCGCCTTGCATCCCGCCCTTCCGCGCCTAGGTAGAAGCGCCGTGCAAGCGCGTTTTTTTACTCTCGCTCCTCCCCCCACATGTGCCCCCCCCCTTGCCAACAGCACGGTCTGGTGTAACACAAGACTTTCACACGCACCCACCAAGGACGCCGATACTAGAGGTCCCAGAAAAAACAGTAGTCAATGTCATGAACCGAGTCGCTCTTTTCTTTCTTTCCCACCCGGTGTCTTGAGCCACCGGTAGTATATGACGAATGCTCCTCGGGTCCGTCTCGCCACAACTGCTGCCAAAGGGCAACCCTTTGGAACCGAAGAATATGCGAGCCGTGTTCGACCCAACTGCCTGGTAAATTCACCATCCTCCCACATCTCCTGTCAAGGCACCACAACCTGGGCTGAGACGAGCACCACGAAAAAAAACTAGGATGACTCGACAAGAACAACAGGCTCATGGGCGGCTGCTTGGCGGAAAGGACTGCCTAGCAGCGCGCCACACCGCATGATTTTACTGGTAACTTTCTTAGTAGGAGTATAGCGAAGTGGAGGAGACTAAGTCAACAAGCGGGAGGAGTGGTCAGCCAGCTGCATACGTGGGATGTCGATACTTGTCCTTACTGCCCACACACGCCCCAGCCCATTGTTCATCCCCCCGGTCCCCCTTTGCGACTAGAAGGAGTCTGTCACCTACCTCTTACCGCGAGCGTTTGTACTCGCGCTGCCAACGTGCGTGAAATTGTCCCCAATATTTCCCAAATTCGTCTCCCCCTCCCCTCAAAGAAAGCACGTTCATTCCAGCTTCGCAATCGCGAAACACCCCACCCCACACACACACACACACACACACACACAGTGCCACAGTGCACCAGTGCACCACTCGACCTTCCAAGATCAGTATACGGAAGCGAATCCCGAGGTTCCTTATCCACATGCACATGTTCCCCAGTGATCCTGCCAAAAAAAATGCGTCATTCGATCCTCAGTCTACATGCAGAATAGACGGAATCGACCCAGGCGTGTGTGTACTCTTAGACACCACTCTTCACAGTCTCTACCCACAATACTTACCATGCTAAAAGAAGAAAAAAACCACCTGTTCCACCACAAATACAACTCAGTACTAAAGATAACCTCCATACACACACACACACACACACATAGACTTAATAATGATAAGGCGGATACATACATAACAAAGCAATACCTAATTCAAGCTCATTCTGCCTTGAAAGTCTAAGCCTCCTTCCCCCCACCCCACTTCGACCTAGCTTCAGAATAGAAAATACATATGTATGCAAGAGAGAGAGAGAAAAAAAGGGCCCAAGCCAAGCGTTTACCTACATACGTTGCTCTACACAGCCTACTTTTTGCAATGCAATTTTTTTGGGAAGGGGGGGGGGGGACATGATGTGAAACACAACGCCCGGTTCTTTGTGGATTTGTCACGTACGCCGTGCTGTAGCTTCAGGCAAGGGACAAAGAAAATGGGACAGTAAGCGATATTTGGTACAAGTGTCATTGTTGCGTTCTGTGGTAGGTTTGCTTGTGAGCATCTGATTGGAAAGATTGTGGCTGGGTGAGGATAGGGGAGCAGTGGGGGTTTTTGCTTTTCTGTAATGGGGGGTGGCTATGGGGTTTTGGGGCACACATCCTGGGTAGGTAAACAGGGGCGGAACTTGCAGGTATGGAGAAAAGAAGCACAGGTTCTGCGTGTAATTACGCATCAGGAGATGAGATTGATTGTAGTACAATGTTGCTACATAGGCTGGGTTGATCTGCAAATGTGGTGTCTCGGCCGATGCAGATGGTCATGTCAGGGCACTGGAGCTCCAACTGTGCCGCACGCGCGTCATCAGCCGTACTTGTAGTCTGCCGTCATAAGATTCGTTACTTGCAGACTTTTCCTCGCATCATTAACATCCGTCATCCCGTCAAATGGTTTTAACATCCGCTAACATTTACATGCTTAGATAAAATCGCCATCCCCAAAGCCTCCAAATGGATTTGGTGGCCGGCCGCCGAAACCACCACCTCCTCCACCGGGAAAGCGGGGGACTCGTCCTCTATCCTCTGCTCTCGGATCTCCGGGTCCAAACGTATCGTATCGTGCACCCGGAGGAGCCATTGGATCGTAGCCGCCTTGTCCACCTTGACCACGAAACAGCGGATCGTCGAACGTAGGGTGCATACCACCGCCACCAAAACCACCTGGTCTTGGTAGGCCGCCTGCTAGATGTGGCCGTAGAGGATCGTTAGGCCCGAGTCCTTGTGGATACAAGTCGTCATGACCAATGTTGATGGGATTCCGATTATCTTGGAGACGGCCTGGCCCACGGTTCACGTCCAGTTCATCGTCGAAGCCGGGTATGGGTTCAGGCAGATGTCGGCCGGACCGTGGTGGAGCGGCAAGGGGATCATTGAATGGGTGGGGTCGCGCGGGGTCAGGATCAGCCGGTGGCTGCCGTGGATTAGGAGGATCACTTCGTTGGGGATCCTGTCGGTCTGCTGTAGGTGTGCGATCCTGATCTGTTGTGCTTTCCTCATAGCCGGGCTTGTTCAAACGTGGCGCCAGCTTCTGGATCACAGAAATTTTGAGCAGCGAGCCAAGATCGTTCAGCCGGCCGGCCGAGATGAAGAGATCTTGCAATTTTTGTGATGCATCCTCTATGGAAGTTCCTTCCGGAACGCTGAAGGGTAATTGTGATTCGGACAGGTAGTCTTTTGTGGTGAGCTCGAAATGTGTCGTCTTGTCGTCGCCCACGGCCAGGGCGAAGACAACGGCCTTGCCTCCCAATCTGTTGACCTTGACAAGAAACTCCATAGCTGACTGTGCGTGTGCATATCGAAATGCGTACGAAGAGGAAGCGTTCCATTGTGCAGGTAGTTCTTTTGGGTCTTCGGCGTCTGCATGCGCTTCTGTGAGCATCTAAGTTATGATGGGTAATCAGACAAGTAGAGGACATGAGTACTTACCTATGCGCTCATCTTCGCCCAGTCCAATAAGACGAAAACCGACGGCAAGCATGCCGGCGTGGACCGCCAATGCGACGGCCTCTGTTCCGTTCTTGAGCTGTGATGCCTGTCCTTTAGGTAGCGAAGTGGCCATGAACAAGGCGAGCGAACCCGCGCTGAGCGGGTTGCCCGTTGTGTTTGTTTGGACCATGTTTCGGGTGTTTGATGTTTGCTGCAGTTGGTGAAGTTGTGTAGGGTTTATTTCGTAGTAGGAGAAAGACGGAGAGAGGGAATGTGTGGGGTGATTAAAAGAAATGGTGGTTGTCAAGGTTCAAGTATGGTTCCCGATCAGGCAGCGGAGTTGGGAGCTGGAGCTGTCAAAAGAGAGCCAATGACGCAGGGGCGGGGTCTGGGGCTGCGCTAATCACACCCGCTGCGGGCCTGCTGCAGTTGCATCGCCGCACCTCATACTCACGATATCTGTTCATGCATGATGCTGCAGCATAGCTCAATCAGCTTCTAGATAGAATATTCAATGACATCACCAAAGGTACAGAGCGTTGCGCACAAACAGGAATACATGTATTGCTGTACAACAAAGCTGCAAAGTATGCGCCAGTACGTCAGTGTGAGCTATGGCACGACCAAAGACAAGGATACGCCAGTCCACGGGGAATAATACGAGACCACCAAACGCCATAGGCAATGCACCGAGACGCCACGAACACATTCACAAATCAGATCAGAAAATCCATAAAGCGGGAAGCCTATTCCGGTAGGTCTTGAGAGTTGCTTGCTGCAAGCTCGTTCGGTTCGAGAAGACTGTCGACATTAGCAAAAGTCAATCAAGAAAAAGCAAACATGTATCTTACGAGTATTGCTTGTACAGAGTGCCCTCGCCTCCCTTTTCGAGGTCGACGTTGAAGACGTAGTAGTTGCCTTCGCTAGTGACAACCATGATCTGAGGCCCATTGTTGTTGAGTGCAACCACATTCCTTACGGGGCCCGACGACGAGCTGTTGGGTGAACGCGGTATCTTGACCCAGGCAAAGTCGCGCGACGGTTCCCAAATCTCCGCTACTGCGTTGGGCAGGTATCCTCCCACAGTAGCAGCGAATGACTTTCCGACCGTTTGGGATGTGCGGCGTATCAAGCTTCCAAAAGTGGGGTTGAGTGCTTTCCGTTCTGGAGGCGCCATGTCTGCTGTACTAGCACCGAATTCATCAGACGCCTCTTCGCTTGCTAGACTACTATTTCGCTGATGGGCAGAACCCCCCGGTCGCGTAGGTCCCGAAGACACGCTATTACTCCTGCTATTGGGCGCACCCAGACGGAAGATATGCACCGTCTCCGTTGCCGAGGAGACGCTCAATAGTGTTGAGGCCGAGTTGAATGACATGCTGTATATCCTCGCTGGTATGGAGCCTCTTCTGAACTGGTATAGTTTCTGCGCATCTGGAATCGAGAAAACGCGAATAATAGTGCCCTTTTCCGATGCTGTCGCGAGCAGGGTACCATCGCTGTTGAGCGCGATGCACGACAGCGGAGAGTTGTGCGCTTCTATGACATTGACTGCTTCCATCTTGGTCGCATCATATATCAATACCTCTCCACTTGTAGGCGCGATGTGATCAGTCTTGGGTGGCGCATGTGAGGGTGGTTGGAAGGTGGCAGGTGCGGCTTTGGTGGGCAGTGGGAACACAAGGTAGTTGTTTTCTGACGACGCAGAGAGGGCGCATATGGCTACACATGTTAGCGACTGTGAATCGTTTGGCTGGGCCGTCTTACCGTTGGGGTTCGGCGACGTCTTCTCGGTCTTGAGCATCTGCATGTTGCTTATGTCGTAGATGTAGAGCTCTGATTCCAGGACGACAATTAGGCGCTTCCTGTTCATGCGCATAGCGAGGATAGCCGTCCTAAAGGTCATTTCGCATATCGTGGAGTGTCTCTTGGCCTTGTCAGTGTCTAGCCAGGACAGCGTAGGTTGCCATGCAACAAACCTTTGTGTTTTGTATCCGTAGCACTCGGGGCGACAATGTGAGCGCAACTAGCGACGTCGAGAAGAGCATCTCAAGGCTGGAAACATCTCCTTCGCGCGACTCGGACTGCTTGTTAAACGGGTCCGTCGTGTATATGCGGTACCCATTTGTGGTGCCTGGTGAGTAACTACGTCAGTTTCGGTGCCGCCACAGGTGTGCACACGACATACCAACGCCCAGGTGGCTGTGATCCTGGTTGAATGTAACAAAGTTCATGGCTGCAGAGAGATTCCGGATTTACCGCTCTCAGTGTTGTAGACGCTGTGTGAAAGTAGTTGTCGCTGTAGCTGTAATAGCTGTGAGCTACCCAGGTGACAGCCAAGTGGAGCTTGGGGCAGCCGTTTGTGAGCGGTCAGCCCTGTAGGCGACGTGTAAAATATCCTCGTGTGCCGAAGCGATGGTGATGAAGTAGCTGATATGCCGGTATGGAGGTTGGAATCCGCAGGAGGAGATGCCTAGAGACTATTTACAACTTATATGTAGCTGCTTCCCACCTGCCGGCCATGGTTCACGCGCATGCAGGGATCCCGACGTCAGCCTCAGCCCCACGTTGTGGCTGAGGCACCAGCCCAGCAAAAACATTACTCTTCTCAGTAACCATCCCTCCACATTACGAGCAACCCCAACCCCAGACATGGTGACAGATACCGGTGCGCGGCCCAAAAAGGGCCCTGCCAAACGTAAGGGCAATCAGAAATCTCTGCGTGAAAGAAGGGATATTGATATTATGAATGTGAGGCGTCCACCATCTTCACCACCGCCATCTTTTCCACTGTCACGGGACTGACATAGCCCTAGACAAATGATAGTAGCATTGTATCCAAGAGAAGCGTTTCCAAACTATATCTCAGTCATGAACCAGACTTTTATGAGCCATTCGTGCCAAAATTTGTTCGTCGCAGTATGTGGCTCACTCTGATGGTGTTTTCAGCATACTGACCACGTCAAAAAAAAAGACCCACTAATCAACCGCGGCTACTGGCTGCGAATGCACGCCATTGAGCAGGCAGTCCATCGCTTTCTGAAAGAAGAGAATGGAAAGTCAAAAGTCGTTGTGAATCTTGGATGTGGATAGTGAGTAAGATATTCGGCATCAGCTGGTCTTACTTCAGACGGCACTGACTCCTAGGAGTGATCCCTTGCCCTTCCAGTTCTGGCACAGGTATCCTTCTCTCGCACAATCGGCTACCTTTGTGGATGTTGACTATCCGCAATTGATGGAGAAGAAGCGGGACCGCATGCTAAGCAATGACCTCCTTCGAAACGCCCTGCTGAAGACCAAGCTCCGTCAGACCGAGCAGCCTATACTTCTCCGCAGTGACGGCTATATGGCACTAGGCTGCGACCTCAAAGATCTTGCAACACTCGAAAGAGTTCTTCGAGCCGAGTTTGATATTTCGGCAACCACGATTTTATTCGTCGCCGAAGTGTCTGTGACTTACATGCCGCTCAAGGACTCTGATGCACTGATACAGTGGGCCAGCACCATCGGAGACGGTATGTCGGCTCGAAGACCCAATTGAAGGAAATTACTGACCATCGTAGCCCGCTTCTGTATACTAGGTAAAACAAGATCCTGCATATCTGTATACACCCCGTCCCGCACTGACTTAATGCCGTCTAGAACAGTATCTTCCTCAGGGCCCAGAACACCCCTTCGCTAAAACTATGCTCTCTCACTTTGACAAATTACAGGCGTCAATCAAAGCGGTTAAGCTACATTCATCACTGGATCAACAAGCAGCTCGGTTCCGCAACGCCGGTTGGCCAACGCTTGTCATGGCTCGTAATCTGTGGGACCTCTGGTCCGATGATTCGTTTACCCCTCCTAGCCTCAGACGCACGATCAATGCCACTGAGCCCTTTGATGAGTGGGAGGAATTCGCGCTATTCGGCAGCCATTATTTCCTGCTTGTCGCATCCAACATGGAGACACAGGGGTCAAATGAGCCGATCCACGAGGAGACAACCACTAGGGAGAGTGCGAATGGCACCGACGCGGGAAGTATTATCCTGCATTGTTGGAAGCAGCACAGCGATACTACTTTGACGCCACGCCGTTTCCCGGCGGCTTTCACACTGGACAAGGATACAGTGGCCCTTCATGGAGGACAGGGAACGCAGACCCGTCTCGCCGATATGGACATGCTGAGACAAGATGACTCTGACCAGGATCGTGCCGTTCAACCTGGTAATCTGCTACCTACTGCACGTATGTGCCATACAATCACATCGATGCAAGATGGTGAGGCGTTGTTGGTCGGAGGACGTGGGTCGCCCACCCAAGCATGCGCAGATTGCTGGCTCTTCAAACATGGAACTTGGACCAAAGTAGATGATCTCGTGCCAGCTCGTTATCGTCACTCAGCGGTTGCTGTTCAACTAGGATCTGGTGAGACATATACGCATGGAGTGTTAGTATTTGGTGGCAAAGCCAGTGACGGCACAGTACTTGACGCCAATGACTACTGTGCTCTGTGGACTGCCAACACCGGCTGGCACAGCATTTCCGTCGACGGACCGCACCCGTCTCCACGTTTTGGTGCCGCAACGTGTACGATCAATTCAGCCAGAAACTGCGGGCTGCTCACAGGAGGCGGCAACGAGAGCGGCGTGGTTGTCGACGACGCCTTATGGGAGTGGTCCATTTCCGCCACACCAACACCACGAGTGAGCTTCAAGGACCGCACCAATGACGTGCGCAGTAGCCTGACAAATTCTGTACACGCGCGTATAGGCTCTGTCCTAGTCCCCTGGAACGATGCTCTGTTGATGATTGGAGGTGTTTCGAAGAAACATATCCACAGTCTATCAGACGACTTTCTGCTCTTGACATGCAAGGACACGATCATTCAAGTGGAGCGTCCCAGCATGCACGTCGCGCCCCACATGTCGTGGCCTTTGCTAGTGGGTGTAGGAGCCGTTTCATCCTCTCGAGACGAGATTGTGCTTGCAGGAGGAGGAGCGGTATGCTTCTCGATGGGCAGCTACTGGAACCAAGATCCGATTTCCATCCTCCCTGGCGCTACGCAAGGGGCCAAGTCGTGGCGTTGTGTTGGGCCGAGTCAGGCTGGCAGCGGCACAGCAGGCACAAAAGGCACAGGACAAGCGAATGCAGCTGAAACAAGACGTGATGGTCGTCGAGAGAAGGCAAGTGTGAAAAAGAGGCCTGTGATGGCGGCACGTACGGCCGATATCCAGAGGTCCCAGGTCAGTTCGTCAGATGACTTTGCGAGACTCGTTGCCTCCTCAAAGCCTGCCATCATCACCGGTCTTGACATTGGCCCGTGCACAGACCTTTGGACTCTGGACTACCTGAAAGAGAAAATTGGTCCAGAAAGGGAAATCGTAGTCCACGAGTGTTCATCCGATCGGATGACGTTCAAGGACAAGAATTTCTCCTACGTGAAGAAATCCACCGCAGACTTCCTCGACGGCATTGCAAAAGGCTCCCATGAATACCTGCGTGCTGTGTCATCAAGCCAGCCAAACAAGCTGCCTACAAAACTCGAAGAAGACTTCCCTTCCATTTCTAATGACTTTAGAATCCCAGATGTGTGTGACGTAGTCAAGGAAAACTATCACAGCTCCCCACTCCGCATCTCAGGCCCAGTGACTCTATGGCTACACTACGATGTCCTATCCAACATCCTATGCCAAGTCCACGGCAAAAAGACACTGTTTCTTTACCCACCCTCTGATGTCTCCCTCTTGGACTTCCCACCAGGAGGCTCCTCGTCAAACACCGATGTCCTGACGTCCAAAAACCACAAGCTACGTCGTACGCACCCGCACGTAGCATCTCTCGCGCCTGGGGACATCCTATTCATTCCCCCCATGTGGAGTCACACGGCGACGCCTGAGGACGGCGTTAGTGTAGCGGTAAATGTATTTTGGAAGGGTCTGGATAAGGGATATGCGGCGGGCAAGGATGTCTATGGCAACAGGGATCTACAGGCGTACGAAAATGGGAGGAGGGATGTGGAGAAGATTGTGAGGGCATTCAAGGATATACCAGGGGATGTGTCGAGGTTTTATCTTGAGAGGTTGGCGGGGGAGATTTTGGAGAAGGCGCAGAAAATGGGTGTGGAGAAGGATGTGAAGCATGATGAAGAGAAAGTGTAGGTCAAAGCATAGGATGTTCAATATATCGAATGCGAAAAGCCACCTAAAATTCCCCCCATACCTCCTTCCAACGTCCCTCATCCAACTCAATCGGCCCATCAAACCTCCCAAATCTCGGTGGTCCCGTGCCAGGCTCAGGCAGGCAAACCCACTCCCTCACACACCCAGGCACCTCCATCTTACTATGACTAACACAAAGCAACGCCTGATGCTCCTGCAACCCCTTCACTACCCCATCCTCTCCCTCCGTCTCCACAACCCTACCCCCCTCATCCACCTCCCTGCCCTCCCCCCAACTAAGAAACAGCAAACACTTATCCCTCACCGCATCATCCATGCCACTAAACGCCTCATCCAAAATCACAATATCAGGATTCCGAATCGTAGCCCGCAGAAACAAGATGACACGTTGAGTGGAAAACGAAATCTCACCAAACAACGTCTGCTTCGCCCATTCAAGGCCCCCGTCACTCTCCTTCTGGCCTTGGAAACTCGGTCGAATCTCATGCTCAAACCACTTCAAAGCCGCCTCGACTTTCCTCTCTGCCCCGTCATCGAACTTCGGTCGTGAAATCGGCGTCTCACTCCACGCACTCTCCAGCGCCTCCCTCACACTTAGTCGCTTGGGAAACAGCGCGTGCACTTCTGGACTCGCATGTCCCATCCGCGCTTGGATCTCGAAGATGGATATACCAGGGACGCCTGGAGAGGGGAGGCGCGAGCGCTGGAAGAGTTTGATGGGGACGGAGTAGGTTTGTGGGTGGTCGGATGTTACGAGGCTTAGTAAGGTGGTTTTGCCGGAGCCATTGGCGCCGAAGATACCCCAGCGAGATCCGCGGTTGACGGTCCAGTGGAGGCCGGGAGTGCTGGGGGAGGATGATTCGGGCTGATACCAGTCTCCTAGGACGGAATTTGCGCCGTAGGAGATGCAAACACCGTTCATTTCAACAAGAGGTTCGCCTGGGGATGGGGTGGATTTGTCGATTTTTTCGTAGCCGTCTCGACTTAAGACAGGTAGTGACACTGTTGTGGTCCTTGGGTCTTTTTCGGATAGAAGTCGACCTACTTCCTGGACCTCTTTTGTATTCGAGCCTTTTGTCTTGGTAGTACCGCTTTCCTGGATAGATCTATACTCCTCTTTCAAAAATCTCAAGACTTCTTCTTTAGGCCCCAATCGCGCGACTACCCCATCCTCACCCGCATACACAAGATGCGTAACCCACTCCGGAATATCGTCCTGAGGCCTCAAACTAAGCACGATGCGTGGAGCATTTGCCTCAGCCAAGCGATGCAAAACAGCAGAAATATGCTTCGTGACAATCGGATCCAAACCAACTTCACCCTGTCATTAGCTAATCTTCTTACAAACTCCACTACAAAGCTAGACTTACTAAATGGCGCATCCAAACACAACATCTCAGGCCCACTCAACAATGCCTTTGCAATCCTCGCTCTTCTCGACTGCCCATTACTCAGCATACTGACTGGCTTTTCAATGAACCTTTCCAACTCCAAATCCCGCATCACCTTCTCCATATCCTCCTTCCGAATACTCTTAGCCATAAGTTCCTCTTCCCCGGGATTCATCGTCACAATACCCGTTAGATAGCGCTGGACGGTGAAATCCGTTTCTTCCTTCAGCGACTCGTACCGTGCGGATAGGTACGCGCCGCCGAAAGCTTTGCGCTCGACGTCGAAGCCGACATATTCAATTGCGCGCTCAGGGAAGCGGAGATGCGGTTTACCTTCTGTAATAGCGGGGCTGAGGAGGTAGGGAAATGAACGTGCTGTAGGTGGGAAACAGAGCAATTGGCCACGGAGAATCTGTAAGAATGCTGTTCGGATATCTGATGATGGGCTTAGGATGGCCCAATGCTGGTTTGGCGTTGAGGAGGAAGGTAGGGAAATCGTTAGGCCGGGGAACAAAGGTGAATCCGTAGTTGCACCTCCATGATTGAGTTTCGAAGAAGGATGGTGACGGTAAAAGGTGCCGCTGTCAATCTTCACAATAGGCGGGTTCGAGTATGATTTCCGTGAAGTGTGGAGTCTCGCACATCTTGTTGCCGCCAGGAATAGTGCTGGCTTCCTTTGCATGTCGAAATCAGTGTTGGTGATGGTGAATTCATCATGTTTTGATGATTTGGCGTGGAGCGATGTTCGGCGTGCGGTAGTAGCGGAGAAGCGTCCGATTCCGCGACTGAGGTTGGGATGACGTTCGCTACAATCTTATGCCGAGGTACGCGGTAACGAAGTTGCGGTCACGTTTCGCTGTAGAGGCCATTCACTCCTGTCGCTTTGTTGGGTATTGCATGTATACAAGCCTGCAACGATGCTTCCTAGCTTGCAGCCGTCTAAACCAAAGGTAAGTTGCTCTGTCTCAGTTAGGACGAGTTATTCCTCCTACCTACCTACTCACACGACATAGCCTCCACAGCAGTCCCCACAGCCAGCGTACGCGCAACAACAACGACGTGCTGCCCATTCCTCACAGCAAAACATATCGCAGCCCTCAGGCCTCCCTCTGAAACCTCCAAAGCCGCGTTCGCAAGTCGAAGCCATGCCGCCTTTTGGTCCTCCGCAAACACCCGCATCCTTCTTCACGCCCATATACGACAGCGCAGTACGGCATCCAGTCTTCTTCACTCAGAACCTGAAGAAGCCTCCGTTTCCTCTACCACAAGTTGCGAGTCAAGGCTGTAATCCGGTGGCAAGCGGGTACATCATGGAGCAGAGGAGAGTAGAGACACCGGGCAGGACGAAGTTGTAACGGTAGATGCGACTAAACTGCGTGCATTTGGACGGCGTTGTGGTGTATTGAGCGACTGATCCGGGTTCTTTTCGAAGAGGTGTGATGTTTTACATGCATAGCAAGCTGGTAAAATCTACCTCGACGATATTATCATTGGCTTGCAGATTTCTAATAGCACTATTCAAGCTCCGTGTTTGTTCTCGAACAAAAACATCTGCTCTATGGCGTAGTGGGTATCTCTAGCAATCTGACTCGACCACAGCATTCACAAAACGTTGCCACGTTGTCCTTGTAAGCTTCCCGTCCCAAATTCATGCCTTGTCTCTATAGGCTTTGCCTACCTACAAGATTACTGGGCAGCAGTGCGGTAGTAATGACACAGCCCAATGTCACACCTCCAGCCAGATACAGAACACTATTGATATCCCTCCCTGCTCCTCCACCAGCATACAAGTGCTGTGCAATCAGTGGACTAATGATACCGAAAAGTCTGCCCCAGAAGCTTGCAATTCCACACGCGGTGCCCCGGATGGGCGCTGGGAAAGCTTCCGGCGTCCATCCGTACAGCACCGAGTTAAACATAGACTGGAAGAAGTATTCCATGATGTTGAAGCCTATGTTGGATGCCGCCGAGTTGACGCTGCTGAAGAGAAAGATGGAGATGCCCATGAGGGCTGACGAGACTACCATGGTCCACTTGCGTCCTACTCGCGACGCGCGGTAAGACAGAGTTCCAAGTACTACTCCAAAGACTCCAGGAAGGTAGATGAAGATGTATGATCGGTACGTATAACGAAGGGATAGGTCCAGAGCACCATTCTTCACAGCCAGAATTTGTGGAAGGTAGGTTCCTGATGTGAAATTAGCGACGTAATTTCGAATGTACATGGTTGTGTTGTAGTTACGTACCAGCGACAGTAAAACCCCAGTAATCGCAGATATATGTCAGCCAGACGAGCAAGGTCAATCTTGTCATCTGGGTGCTTGAGAAGAGGATCTTGAAACGATCGCCTTCCAACTTGACCTTCTCAGTCCACGTAGATTTAAGTTGCTTAACGCCACTTCCAAGTACAGGTGTAGTGCCTCGATTGGATTCGAACGCATGCTCCAGGACCTCCAGGTCTCCTAGGGTTAAAGTGCATTTAGTCTTGTTGTACTCAGCTATCTTGTGTAGCACACTGACAGCCTCGGCGTCTTTGCCGCGGTATATGAGGAACTTGGGCGACTCTTGGAAGTTGAAGAGCACTGAGCGTAGAACAAACACCAATATTGTGACACCGCCTAGCGTGAACAGTAGGTATCGCCATCCCATGTTATCCTGTTTTAAGCAACACGCTTCTCCTAGGCCGACAGCGGTGCAAGCAGGGAGTGCACGGTCACCTTCTGAGAAGTTTGGACTGCAGGACCAGTTTGGAATATAGCCGTAGGCTAAGACTGAGCATATAACGACGCCGATCGGCTGGAAGATGGAGAGAAGAGGAAGAAGGTAACGCTTGTTCTGTGGGGTGGCTTCTAGCGTAATAGTCGTATCGATGGGAATGTTGCCTCCGATGCCGAATCCAGTAAGAGCCGTAAGGACCAGGATGGTATTGTAGGTGCTAGGGATGCCGATGCAAGTCCCAAAAACACAAGCCACGAAGACGGTCAGGTTGAAAGAAGACTTCCGTCCAATCACATCTACTAGTACGCCCCAGACGAAGGCGCCAGATGTAAGTCCGACTGAGAAGGCGGTGGAGAGTTTGCCGGTCTCGTCAGCTCCAAACCCAAACTCCTGCTGTATTGGGGACAAAACTAGACCAAACGCTTGTGCCCACATGAGATCGATCATGTACCCGAAGCCACACAAGGCCCATATCGACCACTGGTAACGCCCCATACCCATGAGATCAATCTCATTATTGATCAGCTCACACTTCTTCTCATAGAGTGAGACGCCAGTGTTTCCCAGCTCTTCAGCCGAAGAGCTCGGTCTTTCCAAGTCACTGGGTCGACTGAGAACATCTAACTTTTCTTTGCCAGCGTCTGAGAGCCCTCTTTCTATTTGTGGCGTTCCAAGAGAATCCGTGCTATCAAGTGTGGAGTAGGAAGAGAAGGAGGAAGAGGAAGCAATGGTGATACGAGGACTTAAGAGCGCCTCACTTTCACTGGCTTCATGGCTTCTTTGCGGCATGGTTGGGTATCAGTTCAGGCACTTCAAAGATGGCAATCTGGAAGACTGTCATATTTTTGGCGGCTACCCTCTTGTATGTGTATTGTGGGCTTACAAAGGACGGTACCAGGCTCCGCTGTGCCGCCAGACTAGGGTGAGGGTGGTAGTAGCTAAGCGATGCAGATAAGCAACACTGATTGCGCGAGCAACATAGTTTGAGTGTCTAATTGTCAAAGGAGTTACACCCATGGCGATTGTGCAGACGTTGGGTACGAGACGCTAACGGGTACCGGTGCGCATTCGGTAGATCAAAGGGCCCAACGGTTCTGCCTGCTGCCAATAGACGTGAGACATGGTAGGTTTCATTCCGAGGAGGCTGACAAGAGATCGGATCGGAGATGTGTGATATCGATGGAGCACCTTATGAAGGATGATCGAAATGTGGGTTATTGAAGAGGGATTCAGAGTGCGATTGCGGTGGATCGCCAGGAACATAGCCGGCGATTTCAGCTGAAAAGGCAAAGCAGCAGATTGCGCAATCGTCTCGGTGCTACAAGACGTTGCGCCGTTACTTCTCTATCTTCGTCTCCCGCTGCGTCCGATTGTAGTCAAATACGCAATACGTCATTGTGCGTCTCGAGTAGTCAATTGCCGTAGCCAAGAACCGGTATGGGCGTTTGAGAAAGCGCATGACACTATAAGATCGCGATGGTTTAGGCGGCTATGTCGTTTTAGGACGCACACATCAATACACAGCGCTACAGGCTTTGTAGATTGAGTGGGGGGCATGCAGGATTCCGCCAAGGGGGCGCAGTCGGAGGACACATCGTGATCATGATGGAAATCTGAAATCTGATCGGTGAAGGATAGCAAAGTCAGACGGAGCAGGCGAGAATTAGAAGAAACGGGTGTCTGGTGTGTGGCACGTGAAGATGTAGTCGGTCCCCATCCAGCGCAGAGGGTCTAGCTCCACCTTACGTTCGCCAAGATGGTAGACCGAGGTCCGTGCGTCGCGATACTGGAACTTTTTTTTCTGGGACATGCGAATGAAAAGTACAAGCAAAGAAGACTTGAAATTCACATTCTTTTACAATGGCTCCACGTAGAAAACGCCAGCGCCTCTCACTCGATGGCGCAGAGGCCGTCACCGCCACTGCTGACGCCGACCAACCCTCCAGCAATGCCGCAGCTGCAGCGACGGCAAAGGAAGTCGCGCGCAGACAACTCTTCGTTCGCAGCCTCGCACCCGACGTCACCAGCGAAGACCTGACCGAGTACTTTTCCGAGTCCTACCCGATCAAGAATGCGCTTGTTGTGTTGGACAAACAGACGCGTGAGTCCAAGGGCTATGGCTTCGTTACATTCGCCGATGTCGAGGATGCGCAAAGAGCAAAGGAGGAATTGAACAATACACAGATCAAAGGCAAGAATATCAAGGTCGATTTCGCCGAGGCCAGGCAGCGTGAGGGTGAGGAGAAGCGGCCCAGGGCCATCGACAGGATCAAGGCAGAGCGCGAGCAACAGCTCAAGGAAGCGCAAGTACCCAAAATCATCGTACGAAACCTGCCCTGGACCATCAAGACACCGGAGGATTTGGAAAAGCTCTTCAGAAGCTACGGCAAGGTCAATTTTGCAAATCTACCAAAGAAGCCCAATGGCGAATTGAGAGGATTTGGCTTCGTGTCTCTACGAGGAAAGAAGAACGCAGAGAAGGCAATGCAGGAGCTGAATGGCAAAGAGATCAGCGGCAGGCCCATCGCTGTTGATTGGGCTGTCGATCGTGACACTTGGTTGAATCTGCAAAAAACCGAACAAGAAGGCGACGCTAAAGCAGATGGAGACGAAGACATGGAGGATGCTGAAAGCTCCGTAGTCAGTTCTGATGAGGACGACGGCGAGGACGACTCGGAAATGAACAGTGAAGACGACGAAGACGAAGACGAAGACGAAGACGATTCCGACAACAGCGACATCGACGACGAAGACATATCCGAGGATGACGAGGAAGGTGGCGTTGAGCTAGATCAACAAGACAATCGGCCAAAGCGCGAGGATTACACAGTCTTTGTACGCAACGTGCCATTCACTGTAGACGATGAGCGTCTGAAGGAACACTTTCAACAGTTTGGAGGCATACGGTATGCGCGTGTTGTCGTGGACCGCGATACCGAGCGGCCAAAGGGCACTGCATTCGTTGCATTCTTCACCGAGGAAGACATGGTCAACTGCTTGAAGGGTGTCCCACGTGTCAAGTTGCAAAAGAAGGATCTGAACAAGTCGGACGGCTCCACCATCACCGTCACACATTCCGTGCTTGAAGACGAGGACGCCGACCCTACAGGCAGGTACACTATTGACGGCCGTATTCTACAAATCTCCCGCGCCGTCGACAAGAACGAAGCCAGTCGTCTCACAGCCGAGGGCGCAGCTTCGCGTTTCAATCGCGACAAGGACAAGCGCCGCCTTTATCTCCTCTCAGAAGGAACCATCAGTTCTAACTCGCCGCTGTATCAAAAACTCTCGCCCTCTGAGATCAAGATGCGCGAGGAGAGTGCGACGATGCGTCGCAAGCAGATCCAAGAGAACCCTTCGCTCCATCTCTCCCTCACCCGTCTCTCGGTTCGCAATATCCCCCGTAGCATCACTTCAAAGGACCTTAAGCAGCTCGCCCGTAGTGCTGTCGTTGGCTTCGCTGCTGATGTCAAGGAGGGTAAGCGACAAAAACTCAGCAAGGAGGAAGTCATTCGTGGCGGTCAGGAGATGTTGGTGGCGGAGAAGATGCGTAAGAAGAAGGGCAAAGGTATCGTCAAGCAAGCCAAGGTCGTCTTCGAGACACCTGCAGGTAGCAAAGTTCCAGAGGAAGCTGGCGCAGGAAGGAGTAGAGGATATGGTTTCATCGAGTACTACACTCACCGCAATGCTTTGATGGGTCTTCGATGGCTCAACGGGCACGCTGTGGACTACAAGATCAAGGCGGACCCTACACCAAAAAGCAAGAAGCAAGCACAGGAAGCACTGGAAGACAAGCGCAAGCGTCTTATTGTAGAGTTTGCTATCGAGAACGCGAATGTTGTCAACAGACGTACAGACCGCGAGGAAAAGTCCCGAGAGCCCCGAAAGCCGAAGACAGGCGGTGAGGCTGACGAGGACGATTCACAACCAGACAAAACAAAGGGCAAGAAGCGAAAGCGAGACTCGAGTGCTGGAGACAAAAAGAGCAAGGGGAAGGCCACCGACAAATCGAAACAGGGTTCGGGTGCGGAAGCGGGCCCTTCTTCCGCTAAGAACAAGGGCAGTGATGAGAAGCTCGCGCTGAGAACCAGGATCATTGCAAAGAAGAGGCAAGCTCGCAAGGCCAAGCGATCAGGAAAGGCGTGATTGTAACCAAAAATAAAAGCATGATAGCATTAGCGGCGGCGTTCACGTTTAATGGAGAAAAAAAGTCATTGCTATCTCAAATCCCAATATCTGTTGTACACGTTACAATGCTATTCTGCTTCCGCGGCCATGGTAAAGTGATCAAACAGAACATGCAAATTAGGTATTGGTTCCAACATATGCATCCCCACTTTGGAACCACCCACACCATGGTCTCCCCACGGTCCAGCCCCCCCTATATGGTGCGCGTATGAATGTAATGCAAGATCCCAGTCACCGCGCTTTGCGGCATTTCGTCCCATGCTTTTCGTCTGCTGGGCCTCGGTACCAGTTCTCCAATATTGAACCCCTCCCTTGTCTTGCCGATGCAGTGGCTCGGTCCGTATCCGTATTTACGTACGTCCGCGTGAAGGGGGGAGATGAGGGCATGGGAACGTCATGGCTCTGGAGAAGGACGTGGGGGGTAGAGAAGGGTGTACCGGCCGGTAAAAGAATACATGGGCCTCGTTGTTTCTGGACGGTAGTTGGTAGGGATGGAAGTTGTGGGTGGGGGTGTTGTTTGCCTAGATCCATGTATCGAGTTTGTTCCTCACGCTGTTCGATTTTGAAAATGCCGAGTCATTCACGTATTCTTGTTTTTTCTTGCTTTATTTCTTTCGTATTCTATATCACTAATCGACGAAGAGAGGAAATTCCAGTGCTATACCGCGTAACCATTCTCGTCTTTCCAGATCCATCACTTGAGTAGAGTCTGAACAAGCATCCTCTCTCCTCCCCACGCTTCCAATGCTGAAAAAACGATTCAGCATTCCTTTCACTATCCGTAGTACCTACCCGAACGCTACACACGCTCCCCGTCTTCCCCGAGTCGCAAGCGCCTCCCCGAAGCAAACGCCACGCATGCTGGCGGGATGCTTCCAGGCGGGTCCTCCCGGGCTTTTGTCATACATGTGCAGAAGAAGAGGAAGAAAAGGCTTGGTAGCGGCTGAACCGGTGTAACTTGCTTGAACCGGTGCACGGACTGGGGAGATAGAAGGTTCGAGTACTGTGTTGATCTGGGGCTTTGGGGGTTGGCTTGGAATCGATCGGTGTCGATTTTATGGATCATGGCTCCTGGTACCGGAGTTGATGGCAAACGGGGTTATATTTAGGATAGCTCAGAGTGCTATTATCTGTTGACATGCTCAAAGAATATCCCAGTAAGATTTGCATGGTAAGCTATATCTCCTTCCAAGGGGGATTGATTGAAGGCAGCCCTAATAATATCCACAAGAGCGATACATACCAACACTCAAAGGCATGTTACCAGCTGTAAGCACAATTCAGAAAGTAGGCAATTCGATTCGAGTCCTTGTTTCATTGCAGGCACTTCATCATGGAGCCATGCTATATGTGTACCACACTTCTCCCCCGTCACCCCCCTCGACCACCTCTGCCCTACCACATCCGAGCCCCCTACCCCCTACCCGCCACAAAGCCACCCATCCCAACCCAGGCTCCCATCCTGTCTATTCCCCAAATTGGCATCCCGCCACCCAAAACTACTCTCGTGCCACCGCATACACGTCACACAGGCACATGTAAGCTACAGTACCCGCCACTATTCTACGGTGTAAGTAACGCTACTTGAGGGGCACAGAAATGCCGCTGTTGAATGGGGAATGGGGTATGTGACTGTCTAAACGGGGTTCCTATGGCAAGAAAAACGGCGTGGGAGGCGGAGAGTCATGCAGCTCCCCGAAGGTATCGTGAGGGGTTTGAGAATTTGGAGTCCTTCAGAAGAAGCCGAGAGTGATGGGATGAGGTTTTTCAATATTGAGGAAGCGAGCCCGAGATGGTATGAAGCGCCACGTGCCGTGACGGAGCTTTGTGGAAAGAGGGACTTGCTTTCTGAGATTCCTCGAGCGTTATCTTGACGTACACATCGGCATGTGTGAAGTTTGTAGCTCCCCGTTATGTACGGCATGCATGTGTGGGGTGGACTTAACGCATGAGCTTGGGTTTGATAAAGCGTGCCCAAATGAGAGTCGATACATCAAGCATGCATGCTTGGGCGTGGGCGATACTTAGCAGATATCGAGTTCGTGTGACGATTGCATGGTCGAATGCTACGTCCTCGAGTATCTGGGGCGTGCTACATAGGATAGAGCGGGGTCGATAACTTGGAACGTGGTTACGTCTGAGGGGGGTGCAGATGTATTGTTGGAAGTTTGCATGTGAAGGGGTATTAAAACGCTTTGTTTATTTTCTGTTAGCGCCAGTGCCCAGGTTTTGGTTCTTGCACTTCCAGTTAGTTAATATATACCCTGCTAACATGTGATAGTCCTTCAGTGCAATGTATACTTCTAGGTACTTGATTTCTCTGCATGAACCGAAGGGATATTGCGATATGCAGCCGATGGCTTTTTGAGTCGACTTCTCACTACAATCTGGTGGGGACTAATGCAGAAATATCTATTGCGTGTTTGTGGTGTGCGTAAAGAGTTGCGATGCATCAGGGATCCCCACAACGTGTTGCGTAGGACCAACGCACTGAGCACTGTTATTCTGTCACTGCACACCCTCAGAAAATGTTTAGTATAGCTTCAAATTGAATGAATAACAATTCGCTTAGTAGACAAAATTTGTAACAAATTTCATTTTACCTGGCCTCGAAAGTGCGTAACACTGTTAGCTAGAGAGATAAAGGCGTGGCTGCAGTCCAGAGGCTTTTGCCATCTACGATATAGAAGAAACAAGTAATTACTTTTGAGAACCTTCCAGAAGAGCTTAGGAGTATTGCTTGGCATGGATCAAATATGAAGGTTCGCTGTGAAGCGACCAAGATTTGCCCCTTAGATACGCCACAAGATCACTAATACAGCAGTTGCCATACTGCCAAGAAAGAATATTTCTCCACATTTACTACGCATATATCGGTAGAAGGTGCCAAGTTCCGTGGTTGTGGAACGATTTCTTGTCGCCTGGTCGCCGTTTTCGTTCGTCATGGGCCACGAGCTATCTTTGTGCAATCATGCATCTAGAAGGGCCGTGCTCCTCAGATGGTGTACAGTGAGAGAACACAGCGGCCCATACCTAACTATAGCTTCAAGAATGCTCAGCACCATCTCAGACTAAAGACTGATAGTACCCTGAAAGGGCTTAAGAAATGCAGAAGTTGAGGATATTGAACAGTGAGCCAGTATGTCAGCGATGTGAATCCTAACGTTCTCACGGAATAAGAAAGACATCAGACAGGCAATCTGATACTTTCACGATTTCTATTAGCAATCAAATTAGGGGGCTTTGCAACTTGGCCCCACTACTGCAGTTCCCTGCTGCTCAATTTGAACTATATTTCTTGGTTCACACAGCCAAAGATGAGAAAGTCCAACACTCTACCCGGCGAGTGCATATAAAGAGTTGCAAATGGCCCCAGAAGTACGATACTCATGCTTCCCCGCACTCTCCGCATCTTGATCAGACTTGGCACTTCAACTGCCTGTCACGAATACATCAAAACCACGTGCCCCCATCAACTTTGTACTTGCTATACTGCAGAAGCGCCTCCCACGTAAGTAGATTCAGATCCTCGCCTTATAGCAGCTAATCAGAGGTATAGCTCTCGCCCCTTCCAAGCTCTGATTGTCCATGAACACAACACAATGTGCTTTTACAACAAAATTACCTTTCTCTGCAAACATATCGAGTACCGAGTTGCGGTGCACTGCCATTTTGCACGAAATGACCCCGGTCACCAATGCTTTGGCGCGTGGAATGTCAAACGCGAATGGAGTGAGCCTCAAGAACTTTGCAAAGACTGCACAAGGGGGCAAATTTATCTCCCAGTATCTTGTGATGCTCGGTCAGCATATGGGGTTGATGGCAGAAATTGAAACTGCATTTTGCTACTCGGGCCCAACGGCTGCTGTAGCAGAATTTCAATGAAATTGCCCGTGCTCCGCACGGGCCTATCACCTCAACGATAATATCACCTCAATGATAACACGTAGCTTTTAATACATACATGCACCA